AGAAAAGAAAAGAAAAATAAACCAGTTAAACTTGAATATGTGAACAGTTAACTAGAGTTTTGTTTATAATGTGAAAAAGAGAGAGAGAAATGACAACATTCAAAGCAGATCTTTTCATGAACAATATGCAGTAAATGTACCAAGTTGCAACCGGCCCTTCTGACGTGGCCCCAACCTTGTTGGGTGTTGTCTTTTTAAAACGGGGAGCGGGGAGGCGTTTGAGGAGCCTTCCTCTCTTCCCCGCCCCTCCCCAAAGCTAAAAGTGTTGGACTGATAAATTATTTCAGAAGTGTAATATTTTTGTAACCTTTGTTAGTCTCTGTGTCAAGCAGGATGTCGTCCCCCTCCTTCCCTTTGTAAATGTGAACAGGGACACGTTTGCGCCTGGGGTATGCGTTGGAAACCTAGTATTAAATAATAAATTCATGCAGTATTGTTGTAAAGAGTTTGCCAGATCAGATGGTGATCCACTCGGGGTGGGGAAAGCACACTTGGGATCCAGGGTTTCTCGGTGGGACCCTTGGAGAGGACGGGTTGGGGGGGGGGGAAGGATACTCCACTGGTTTTGGGGGGCAGAGGGTGGCCGGCCTCTTGGCACTTGCCTTCCTGCCTCCCTCCCTCCCTCCTTGGCTTCATCCAAGCTGGCTTGGCCAGTGACAGGGTTGGTGCCACAAGAGGGGGAGTCACAAACCAGGTGGGATTTGGGGGGGCTTCAGAGGGCTAGAGCCCCAGGGGTGGTCTGGGAATCCCCTCCTCTCTTCCTTTGGCCCCTTAACCGGCTGCCATTCTGGCACCCCAATCTGACCGCCTTACAGCATGCGGCCATTCCCTCCCGCCGACCCCTTCCTTTGTGGGTTTGATCTGGCTTCCCTTTGCAAGTATATATTCCTGGCTGTCTGTGATTGTTGCTTTGGGATTACATTTCAGAAACTGAAAGCAGTACGGTTATTGTGTACAAACCCTTGCCGGTGTGTGTGTGTGTGTGTGTGTGTGTGTGTGTTCTGTGCGTGTCTGTCCGATGGAGAAATATAACTTTGTGGCTTCTTTGTGGTGGGAAACAAGACCGGGGCGGCTTTCATAGTACGATCCTCAACACAACTTTGGAAAAAAAAAAAAGGCTTTTTCTTTTTCTTTTTGTCAAGCTTTGTGCCTGAAAAGGAGTGTGTTTGTGTGTTTGTGTGTTGATTTCTGCACATTTTGGGGAGGAAAAAGAAAAAAGGAATAAAATGCTGCAGTGCTTTCTTAATTAATTATTTGGTACCTTGGGGGAGGTTGAGGGGGGGACTTGCTAGCTAAGGAATGTCATGGTATTATTGCCCCATCTTTATTCTTGGATGACAAAATTGTGGCGCCCCCCCACCCTTGCAATTCTCGGCTCACGGTTCCCTGGCACTGGTGGAAGGGGCTCCGTTGGTGCAAGACTGGGTGCCCGGGCCACGTTGCACTCCTGCCCCCCCCTTCCACCCCCATAGGGCTGTGTTCTGCTTCACAGCAACACCGACTTGCACAACGCGGAGCCCATGCCAAAGCTGTCAAAAGCGGCAGAGAATTAGTATAAAGCCTAGTCAATGGGCAACTTCAACGCTTTAAGCGGGTCTCACTTCAATTCCAGATAATCCAATGGAATTCTTCTCCTTCACCCTGACCCCACCCTCCAGTCTCTCAAGGCTGCTCTCCCTTGATGGATGCCAGGGGTTTCTGGCAGAGAAGGCTGGGGGTTGGTTGGGGTGGGCAGAACCGGGCAGGGGGCAAAAGAGGTCCAGGGGCTGGATATCTGTGCAAGCTTTCACTCCCCACTTACCATGACCTCCCTCAGCCCAGGGCTGCCATTTTCTTGACACGCATCTCAGTATTTTGTTGGGCATCGTGTTTAGAAGAGTCATGGCTTTTGGGGGGGGGGGGCTCAGAAGCCATGCCAAATCTCCAAGGGTGTTCATAGATTTCAGATATATCTGTCTCTAGCTCTATATATATTAGCACTGAAGACCAATTTTGTCCTTCTGGACCAAGCAAATTTAAAGCTTATTCTTCACTCGTTGTGTTTTCTCTCTTTATCTCTTCATGTTGTCACGGTTAAAAGTGCCAGTTTGATCGCTCCATGTTAAAAGAGAAATCCTGTTTTTTTAAAAAAAAATTGCTGTCCTGGCTCAGTCTACCTCAGCACCTCCTGCTAGCCTGACTTAAGAAGGTGCCAGTTATTTTGTTGTTGTTGTCGTTGTCGTTATTTAGTTGATTTTTCAAATACTGTGTTATGTATATATATTTTTTCCTGTACAAAGTGCTTTTCTGTTAGTTCCTTTGCAGTGCAGCTTGTGCGTCTTGTTATAAGCTTTCTCTAGAGTCTTAGACGCATTTAAAAATACACACACACACACACACACACACACACAATAAATCAGTTCTCCCTCCATCCCCATCCCCAAAGAAAGTTGTGATGTCCCTTTTCCAGTTGCCATTCTCTCCTCCTGCATCTATTCTGTGAGGCACAGGAGCATCCTCTGTAAACCTTCCGTGTTTTCTGGTGAGGGGGGAAAAACACGACAAAAGGAGTTTCTCCCCCCCCCCCTCAAAAAAAAATGATGTATTGCTGCAGGTTTTTTTTCTCTCCATTCGTCACTAAGTGAAGTTTGTGCCTTCTATAGCAAAGAGAATATTTTTTACATCCTACTAACAGTAGATTTTTTTGTAGTGGACATTTTTTGTATTTTTATTTATAAGTCTCATAAGGAAAATAGCAATGTTCAGTTGTATATCTTGAATCTGCAGTTAGGAAAAAAAAATACAATAAAGTTAATTCAGTCGTTGATGCTGGTGGCTGGTTGTTTTCTTTTATTCTTTGCACTTTCATCGCTGGGATAGAGGAGTAATCTGGCAGTCAATTTATGATGTCATTGAGCTGAATTTGTCTACTCCTCACCTCTCCTTGCCCCCCCCCCAAAAAAACCCCACCCGAGGATTGGCCGCTAGAGGAGAGAGAGAGGGAGAGATTGGCTTCAGGGGTGGGATTCTACCAGTTTGGACTGGTTCGGGCGAACTGTGTGTTAAATTTGCATCCGGTTCGCTGAATGGGTGTTTGAACCAACCGGCTGGCCCTCCCCACCCCTCCCCTCCCCTCCCCTCCCCTCCCAGGAATCTCCACGCGGCCCATTTTCGATGGAGGTGAGTGCAGGGTCCCCCTGGAGGCTCTGGGAGGGGGGCAAATGGGCCTTCCGGAAGTCCGGAAATGGGTCCCCTTCTGGCTTCCGGAGGGACTTCAGGGCCCGGGAGAGGCCATTTTTGCCCTCCCAGAGGTCCGAGAGTCTAGGGACTCTGGGGAAGGGCAAAAAACGGACAAACTGGAAGTTCCTGTAGGCCACACCCACCATGGGCAGCAAACCAGTTACTGGGATTTTTGAATCCCACCCCTGACCGGCTTCATACACCACACCGAGCCACAACTGTGGTCAGTTGAACCTAGTTCATGGTAACCTAGTTCAGGTCTTCTAATCTAAGCCACAAATCTGTCCACCAAACCAGAAACGGGGCTGATCCAGACCAGGTCCTAGAAACAAAGCCAAGTGCAACAAAGGTTTTGTGTGATGAACGAAACCCTTCGCTCCAACACCCCAGATTTTCACTAGGCAAGACACAAATTCTGTGGCACCCGAAGCTTGGAGCGTGGCTGTGGTTCCAGGAATGAAAGGCCTACCTTGGCCACTTGAAGATGGGTGGACCTCAACTCCCAGAATGCCCCAGCCAGCGTTGCTCTAGGAGTTGCAGTCCACCCATCTTCAAGTGACCAAAGTTGAGAAATGCTGCCGTAGGCCATTCCAAACAGGGTCAGATGCTATCCCCCTATTGCAGCTGGAAAGGAACGTCAATACGCATCCGTGGCCATCTTTCCATCGGGTCTGGATTACCAGAGGCTGGTGGTGAAATGCTGGAAGGCCCCAATCATTCTCTAAATCAGGGGGTCTCCAACCTTGGCAACTTTAAAACTTGTGGACCAATTCTAGGAGTTGAAGTCCACAAGTCTGAAAGTTGCCAAGGTTGGAGACCCCTGCTCTGGAGGGCTGTCAGTTCTGAAGCCCACAGTCTCCATCCAAAGAAAGCTAGAAGTCAAAACACCCATGATTACTTCTACGTCTGTCTCATGAATCATGGATTTATTATCCAAAGGAGAACCTTGCTGGCTTTGTGCCAATGACCTAGATATTTGGACATCCGGGGATGGAGAATGGAGTAAACAAGCTCAGAATTCTAAAAAGAATAACAGAGTTGGAAGGGACCTTGTAGGACATCTAGTCCAGCCCCCCACCCAAGCAGACCCTACACCATTCCTGACAGATAACAGTCCAACCTCTTCTCGAAAGCCTCCAGGGATGAAGCTCCCACAACTTCCGAAGGCAACTTCTGTTCCATTGATTGATTGCTCTCACTGTTCGATTTCTCCTTATTTCCAGGTTGAATCTCTCCTTGATCAGTTTCCATCCATTATTCCTTCTCTGGCCTTCGGATGCCTTGGAGAATAACTTGACCCCCTCCTCCTCTCTGGGGCAGCCCCTCAAATACCGGAAGGCTGCTCTCCTGTCTCCCCTGGTCCTTCTCTCCCCTAAACCAGGGATGACACGATAGCAGTCTTCCACTAGACCAGCCATGCCCATTCTTCCTACATTTTAGCCTCGGTGAGTCTTAACATGATGCTTTCTCGAATGGCGTGGACTAGAGGTGGTCTTCAGCAGGTTCTGACCAGTTGTGGAGAACCGGTAATGGAAATTTTGAGTCATTCAGAGAACCGGCCAATCCCACCTCTGACTGGAGATGTTACAGTGTCCTTCCCCTGCCACGCCCACCAAGCCCACCAAGCCACAGAACCGGTAGTAAAAAAAAAAATTGAATCCCACCACAGGTGTGGACCTTTGGCTTTGGGGAGGGAGAAGCAGAATGTGTCTAGGAGGGGGGGCATTTGAGTGGTGGAGAAACAAGAGTCCTGAAACGGCGGTCATTTCACAAAATAAGCCACCCTGACTCAGTGGCATTCTAGGACAAGGGTTGGTCTGGGTTCGAGTGTTGGGGGGATGGGGGGGGCTTGCTGGCAGCCCACGCTGTAGTTCCTCTCGGGGGCCTTTTGCCAAGACTGTTCTGGGAGTATCTGATGCTCCCCAGGGAGCCGAGCAAGTTTGCCTCAATGAAAGTGAACTCGCTCATTTAAACCTGACTATAGGCTGCTCCGGCCTCCTGCTGGGTTAATTATCCTGTAGTTCTAAACTGATTGCTGTACACTACGCTTAAGCCCTCCTTTATTTATTTACTGATTACATTAACTGCGGCACCAGCCCCCTTTCTTTATGGAGATGCAAACTGTACAGCCCTTTGCCCAACGTTCTCGGCCCCCACTTGCTCAGAGGGGAGGGGAGGCACCCTGTGGCTGCACCACACAGGCCCAGGAGGGGGAGGACCCGGTGGGCAGGCGCTGCCCCTCCCTGCTTTGGCAGACGGGAAGGAAGGGTGCCTCTGGGGGGGGGGGGGGCCTTCTGGGGGTCCCACAGTGGCCCAGCACCCCAAACCAAATTTAAAACGTGCCCCGAGGTGCCATCCATGCCAGCTTAGCCAAGCCCTGCCAGGGTTGCTCCTTCTCGTCTCTCGGCTTCTAAATCGAAAACACAGACATCCGACAGGATTTTTATGACGTGAACCTTTTCCGGGGGGGGGGGGGGGGGGGGGGGGGAGGGGACATGCCCTGCCAAGCTGTGTAATCCCATGAAAATTAAAATGCAGTTAAACGTTAATTACGTGGAATCAACGGGGTAATTAGTGCTACTTAAATATAGTGTGCTGTTTATATTCAAATTATTTATGAGCATATATAGACAGTTTTCAGCTGCCCCATCCAGAAAAACATGGCTGGTTGGCCTCCTCACCTTTTCCCAACCCCGGAGGGAAAGGAGCTGGGCTAATAGGACCAGGCAAGAAAGCCCATTTTTGTTTTCCTTTTTCACGGCTTGGTTTGGTTGGTCAACGATGAGGCATGGTTGAGCAGGTTGGGCATGGCAGTCAGCCTAACAAAATAGTTGTGAGGAACCTTGGAGGTCTTCTAGTCCAACCCCTGCTCAAGCAGGAGATCCTATGACATTTCAGACAAAAATGTGCAGTCTTTTCTCAAAAGCCTCCAGGGATGAAGCCCCCACAACTTCTGAAGGCAACTTCTGTTCTACTGGTTAGGTGTCCTCACTGTTAGCCTCCTTGGTTAGTTTCCATCCGATGTTTCTTCTTCTGCCCTCGGGGGCTTATTTGGAAAATAAGTTGAACCCCTTCTCTCTCTGGCAGCCCCTCAAATCCTGGAACACTGCTATCATGCCTACTCCTTCTTTTCTCCTATTCCTGCAACCGTCCTTCCTATGTTTTAGCCTCCAGTTCCCCAGTCAAAGTAACCAGGTTGACATCTCCAATAAACCCTCCCTTGCAACGTCTCCAGCGTCTTTTCCACTCGGTGTGTGGCGTGGACTCAGCCCTTACGGTTTATCAACCAAATTGTGGTTAAATGACTTCAGCATGAAAAAGCACGGGGTAAATTAAGCCCGTGCCAAATATACTGTATCTTTCCGCAAACATTGGCAAGCCAGTGACTTCTCTAGCAACACTGAATTTATGCACTCCTATCCTGAAATAAATGTCAGAGCATCATAAGCAAAACATAAAGAATGTCGTATTTTAGAATAATACCTCTTCTCCACCCTCCCACCCTGTTTCTTTGGCTGGATGATTTTAGGCATTTCATTTGAAATACTATCCTCATTTGCTCCGACTCTTCACCCAGCTTTTATTTAGCCTGTGTGCTATTTTGGATGGCTCATGTCAGGCGGCTGCGTTTACTGACCTCCGGTGAGGTCATCCGTTCAGAAAGGCACGATGGCAGAGAACAGCCTGTTCCTCCCACATTCCTGAGTTTTGGGGGGAGCCACCCATAGAAACACTTGGAAGGATGACGGAGGGCCTCCACCCCCATGGGAAGAGGAGCAGTGGAACATGGGAGATGGGAAGAGCTGAAGAAACTCCGGCTTTTTAGCCAGTTGGCACATGGAGACTAAACACTCTGAACTCCAGCAGACAATAAAGCTTTTGAAAAGTGCCCCATTTTGGAAGATCTGCCTGTAACCCCACTGCAACTTCTCAGGACCAAATTTTACTTCCCTCTGTTGCTTCGGAGACAATTCTGCTTCAACTCCCTTTCAAGCTTCTAGTCCTTTTACCTTCTGGTGCTACATGGTTTATTTCTTGTTTATTGTAGCTGTCAATATGGTTGATTTTTTCCCCCTTGCTGGTATGCTGGGACCCCTGGGCAGAATTTCTTTAGAATTTCATGATGGCTGGAAGATGTGTGTGACCAGAGCAGAAATTGTCTTTAATAGTGGATGAATTCTGGCATATTTGTCCCACAAAGCCTTTGTCTCTACTTTAATTGCCAAAGCTCTGAAACCAGGTTAGAGTATCCCTACCTGGCGCTATATCTTTGGAAGGGTTTTCCTGATTTTCTGTCTCATCCTCTCTAGAGCAATTCCCACATTTTCTGGGCTGCAAACCATTCACTCAACCTGTCAGTCATTGCCTATCGGGCTTCCACTTAAACACTTCTAGTCAACCAGACCTTTTTTAAAAAAATTAATTTCAATTCACCGCACAAAGATGAGGCTGACTGCAAGCTTATGGGCCAGAGAATTCCGTAGACTTGGAGGCTGCAAGGTTGCAAGCCGCCATCCTATCTTGATAGATGCTGCTGCCGCCATCCCTATCCTGGTGGGAAACCAAGGGCTTGTTCCCCCACCAAAGCCCACTTCTCAATTTTGCATGACAATCCTGCGCTCCGTTTCAAGACCTGGTTAGCCAAATATATCTACTGTACAACATAAATCTGCTTGCAAGCCGTGCGTGCCAGCGGGACTGTGGAAGGCTTGGATCCTTCCTTGTCTTCAGAAGTTTGTAAGCTGCGGAATCTCTGGGCTCTGCCGCCATCGTGTGGGCAGCTCAAACACACAGCCCTCTCGCCTTGCTGGACAGGGCAATGTGTCCACTCAGGGTAACTAGAAAGGACAGTGTTTTTCTGGCCGTCCCTTTGTCTTTCAGGGGCGGCTGCGTTTCCCATCTCTTCCCCAGTTCAAGTTGTGCCTGTGGGGAGAATCCCCAAGCCAGGAAGGGAAATTGTTCTGTGTGTTCACCAGTTCACGGAATCGTTCGATGCAAGGCTGGGGGAAGAGAGAGCGATGCCCTAATCCAGAGGTGGGGAACTCTGGCCCTGTTAGGCCTTGTGGACTTCAACTGCCCCGCTGGCTCAGGAATTCTGGGAGTTGAAGGCCACAAGTCCAGAAAGGGCCAGAGTTCCCCACCCCTGCCCTCAGCCAACACTTGTCCAGTTCAGGAATCCACACAATGGCCTCTGTTTCAAATGTTCCAAGAGGGGAATCCAACTATTGCTATGCATCTCTTTCTCCTTGATTTATCACTTACATCTTTTATGTACACTGAGAGCTTCTGCACCAAAGACAAATTCCTTCTGTGCCCAGCCACACTTGGCCAACCAAGAATTCTATTCCATGTGGACCTTCTTTTCTGATGTCCAACCATGAATCCCCGCTATCAGAGAGGGCAATGGAGAGGCGAGGCCTACAAGAGTCACTCTGCTACTGAGCTGGAGGCTTCCCTCCATTTGCCATGGCCTCTTGCTGGGCTGTGGTCTTTGGCAGGTGAAGGTTTTGGGTCAGGTTTCTCCAGACCAAACACAACAAACACTTCCAACCGGTCCTTTCCAGTTTTTCTTGGCAACCCCTTACTGTCTGTCCTTTGGAGATGCTCCATTCTAAATGCAGGTGCTGAGAATTGCACACAGTTTGACCAACACAGAACAGAGAGGACCTCTTGGGATGTGTAACCTATGAGACAACTTGCAGAAGAAAAGTCCTGGTGGGGAAAG